CTGGTCCGCAGGCTGACTCTCTAACCACTGAGCAAACTGGCCAGGGCTGGTTTTGCATCTTTAAGAGACCTTGATACCCTTGCGCCTCTCCTCCGCCAGCTCTCAGAAGAAGTGGCCCACGCCCTCCAGAGCCACACTGTCACAGTCGAAACAGAAGACCAGAGAGAGGTAGGTGTAGGAGGACCACGGATGCAGGTTGACCTGGGAGCTCATGGTTGTTCAGGAATGAGGACTTCAGGTCAATTCACGGAGTTGGCTGGTCTCAGAGGCTGGATGGCTGAGATAGTTCTGAGGGTGGTGACTGGAAAAGGGGTTGGAGGGTGGCGGAAGCTGGAGGAAGGGGTGTCCCTGGGTCTGTTCTGTCCAAACACTGTTGAAGCAAGAGACAGATCTGGGGGACCACCGAGGGCACTGCTGATTGTAAAAAAAAAAATTAAAGCTTCTTTTAGGTTTTTATTCTGAATGCTTTTTAAAAAAATCCCTGAAAATAGTGGTTAAGAAATAAAAAAAGTCCAAAGACCAGGCTGACAGACTGTTATAAAGATTTAGAGTACACAAAGATGCGGTGAAAGAAAAGGATTATTATTAATTTTTTTTATACCAAAGTAGAAATGGTTTATTTTCAGTATCACTACTCTTGCTTCAGGTGTATATCTATTATCTGTTAAGCTGATCCTTGCGAATTGTCCCAGTTCCTAGACAAAGACAGTTGTTGATTCATGGGTCTCTTAGAAAGAAAAACTAGCTGGGTGTGTTGCAGCCCCATGACTCATGCGCGCTGTTGCTTAAGGCTCTATTTGTCATGGAAGAAAGAATGGTTTCAAGGGAAACTATAAGTCTGCCTAAAATGACATGGTTCACCTCTGTTCCGAGGAACTCATCTTTTCAGTATGTTGTCCAATGTGCTACAACACTACCCTTGTAAACTGTTAGCACTGCAGGAAGAAACTCTCCTAGACTTGCGTGGGAGACTTTGTCCCTGAAAGTTCAGATTTCTCCTGGAAGCTCATATTTGTATCATTGTTTCAACTGCCTTCTCAGATTCCCTTGGTAACAAATTGCACGTCTTCTTACCTCGGCTGCCTTTAAACTTTGCCACTCATCACCTTTCTTTTCCCTCCAATCCAGCTTACAAACCACAGTGACGTGAGGGTCCTTGATAGGCCAATGTGTCCTTTCACTTTTTGCCTCCAGAACCTTCAGTGGATCCATCTCACCTCTAAAATTTAATTGTAGCCACTCATTCTGAATTTCAGGGTTCTACAACCTGCATATTGAGTTGACCTTGTCTCTTCCTACATTTTTTTATCCTCATCGGAGCACTTTTTTGTGTTTTTATCTTCAGACAGAGCAGGAGGGAGAGAAGGAGGAAGAGAGAGAGAGAAACATTGATGTGAGAGAGACACACCGACTGGCTGCCACCCACACGACCCCAACCGGGGCCAGGGCCAAACCGCAACCAAGGTACGTGCCCTTAGCCAGAAACGAACCAGAGACTCTCTGGTCCACAGGCCGATGCTCTAACTGCTGAGCCAAACCAGCCAGGGTTCTTCCTACATTTTAATATTTGTCCTTTATCTCATGAAGCAGATAGGAAGATGGAGTTCCGTGTGTGTCCTAAGCATTTCATGCTTAGTCTCCACTATCGAATTTTATTCCATTTATTTTCTTTTCAGAGGCTGACGTGATTCCTTGTTAAGATGCAAGGACAGAGGTGGTGAAATCAGGGGCAGCCAGGCCAGCTTTCTGCCAGGAACCAGGCTCAGCGGGGCTTGCTTATCTCTGCTGGTGATTGCCCTCGACTCCTTTACTTTTTTCTTTTAATCCCACGCCCTCTCCAAGGCAGGAGCTGTGTCTTTCTAGAACTTGTTCTCCATGTTTATCCTCATCCTGACTGTGAAAGCTGGCACTTAGGCCTGCTTCTGTCCTTGCAATCTGACCCTGTCCCTGCAGGGACGTATTGGTAGTCATTTCTTCTTGTCCCCAGTCAGTATTTCCAGACTTCATCATGGTCATTTTGATGCCTCTTTCTGTGACTGCTACAAACCGCTAGCACTCATGTGAGAGGCCGCATGATGTATTGGTTAAGAGCACAGGCTATAGGCCAACTCTGTGGGCTTGAAGCCCAACACTGTGTGACTAAGGCAAGTTACATAACCACTCCATGCCTCAGTTTCCCCATCTGTGAAATGGAGCTAAACAGTACCTCCTCAGAGAGTTGTCACAAGGCTTCCTTGAGTTAGTACAAGTATAGTGATTAGTTATTCTTCTCAACTTAGCTGCTCTGCTTCCTATAAATACAATCACCAACACTACCTTTCTTTATTAAAACTTCTGACCCTTTGGGGGGCTCGGCCAAGCCTGAGCTAGATTGGCTTCTCTGAGTTAAAGTTTGCATCTGCCCTCCTTTTCAAAGCCAAACTCTTCTTTTGCCATCTTTAGCCCCATAATCTTTTATTTCTCTCACCTACATAGATGGCCACCTTTTCTGAAAGATCATGGCCCTCATTGGGCTAGCCACCTATTTTGATGCGGCAGCACACATGTCCCTTAACCAACTCTTACCTTTTTATCTTGATCTCTCCAATCAAATTGAAAACGTCCGGGTGTGAAGGATGGAAGATCATCCCTTTGAATCATTCCGTAGCCTATAGAACAATAGATACTGAGTAAGTGTTTGTCTGAAAGAATTGTTTAAGTAACTACACTTCCTTAAGGAGTCTAGAAGCCTTCCAAGACGGTTTTGATGGTATTAACTTTAGAAGACAAAGCTTGATGGGTGAAAATTTCCTGATTGCCGGTGTTCCATATGATTCTCATGAATGAGGGACGTATGACTAGCCTGAGGGATCTGAGGGTAGGAAAAACTTTCTTGGCATCCCTGTTTGTAACTTTAGGAAGAAGGGAGTTTCTAGACTGTGTTAGCAGACATAGCCTAAAACTGAAAGGCGGGATAAAGTAAAAAAGGATTATAAAATAAACAAACAAAACCTGAGTAAAGTGTTTGGAGTCATGACCTAGGACATGTCATGACCTAGGACATGACTTCTCTGACTCATAGAACTCGCTTTTAAATGTATAAAATGAAAATATGGCTGGGTCTTGTCTTGGTTTTCATTATATGATGATTTTTTAAAAATGAGCGTGTTGTGCCCTGGCCAGGTGGCTCAGTTGGTTGGAGCATTGTCACAGTATTCCAAGGTTGCAGGTTTGATCCCTAGTCAGGGCACATACAAGAATGAACCAATGAATGCATAAATAAGGGGAATAAGAAATTAAGGCTTCTTTTTCTCTCCTCTTCCTTCCCCTTTCTCTGCAATCAATTAAAAAGTTTTGTATTTGATTCCATTAGAGCACATACTTAGGTTGCAGGTTTGAGGCAACTGATCAATGTTTCTCTCTCATATTGATGTTTCTCTTTCTCTCTCTTTCTCCACCCCCCCCCCCATTCTTCTCTCTCTAAAACCAATAAGCATATCCTCAGGTGAGGATTAAAAAAAATGAAGGTGTCACTTTACATTTTATCTTTACTGTTATACCTGCTTTTGTGTGTCTGGGGTTGCCTTTGAGCCATGAGAAAGGCTTTTCCTCGCCAAACCAGTTTCTCCCTCATCTCAACCACCATCCACTAATTGTTTAAACCACAAATGTGGGACTTCTTGATTCCACCTTTTGTTCACTCTTGCCATCATATAGTGGTAAATTTTATCAGTTCTGTTTCAAATATATCTGCTGTGTCTCAGGCCTTTCCACTGCTTTTCATCTCCTCTGCCGTCGACTTGATCCAAGCCATAACCACTGTTCATTTAGATCGGGGAGGGGGGCTTTTTTCTGCCAAGGGCCATTTGGATATTGATAAAATCATGTGCAGGCCAACTTAAAAATGAGCCTGCTATATTTGGTCAAACATTTAATTAACGCACCCCTAATATGATGGCTGGAACTGCTTCTCTTTGGTGAGGTGTGTGATGTCAGCTGGTGGTGATGATGTTGCTACTCGCAACTGCTTTTCCAGGTTTGCGTGGGTCAGTCTGGAGCACAGTCGACTCCTTGCGATGGTAAATTTTGAGAAGAACTGCTCGCAGCAGTAAGTTGTTCTGAACACAGATGCCTATTTCAATGCATGTCTCCTCAAAGTGGGAAATTCATCATTGCTTATGTAACATTTATAGAACTCAGGCAGTGGGAGGTGGTTGTACCTAGCTTTCAGCTCATCATTGCTTTGCAGCTGAATGACTTTGTGTTGTAGGGTATCAGGCACATCAGCTGCTTCCACATTCAATGGTGTAGCAAAGATGTTCATTTCCACTTGTTTACTTTTCACATCCTTGAATCTTTCATTAAATGCCTCAGTTTGCACATTCATCAGCATATTTGAGTGTCCTAGGAGGCTTTTGTTCTTCCAGAGTGGGGAAACGCACCATATTATTCCTTTCTAGTTGCACTTTCCACAGCCTTAATTTAGCTTCAGATGATTTCATGTTTGAAAGCAGGGAGCTGAGAAGCTTGTTGGGGCCCTGCAGCTAAATGTTCAGTTTTGAGAGGTACTTGGTAATGTCCACTATGAACGCTAAATCACACAGCCACTTGCAATCATTGAGTTCCCTGACAGGTTTTCCCTTCATCTAAATGAACTGCTTGACTTCATCCCGAAGTTTGTAAAACCTCATGAGCATGTTCCCAAGACTCAGCCACAGCACTTCACAGTGATAAACAAGGTCACTGTACTTAGAGTCAAGATCATTCAGTAACTCCTTAAACTGGTGGCTGTTAAACCCTCTGCTTTTGACAAAATTTATGCATGACACTACTGTTGACATCACATTGTTGAGCCACAGAGAGTACACAGAGAGACTTTCTTGGTGTATGATGCAGTGGCATATAATTAAATCACTTGAATCAAGACTGAGATGATTCAGTTCTTTCCTGACAAATTCAATTAACCACGGCTAGAACTCCAGCTGTAGTAAGGCCACTTAACTTTTTAAATGTTAGCTCAAGTGCTCGCTTTGGCAGCACATATTCTAAAATTGGAACTATACAGAGAAGATTAGCATGGCCCTGTGCTAGGATGACACGCAAATTCGTGAAGTGTTCCATATTCAAAAAAGTAAATAAATAAAATAAAATGTTAGCTCAAGCCCAGCCAGTGTGGCTCAGTGCTTAAGCATCGACCCATGCAATCAAAGGTCACCAGTTCGAGTCCTGGTCAGGGCACGTGCCCAGGTTGTGGGCCTGATCCCCCAGTGGGGGGCATGCAGGAGGTAGCCAGTCGATGTTCTCTCTCATCGATGTTTCTCTCTCTCTCTCCTTCTCCCTTCCTCTCTCTCTAAAAATCAATAAAGAGAGGGGGGAAAAAGGAGAAACACCTGTAACAAAAAAATTAATTAAAATTGGAGGAAAAAAACAACCCCCCCCCCCAATAAAAAATAAATAAATAGCCTTGACCAGTTCAGCTCAGTGGTATAGTGTCAGCCTATGGACCAATGACTTGAGGGTTCGATTCCGGCCAAGGGCACGTACCTCAGTTGTGGTTTTTCCCTGGCCTTGGTTGGGGTCATGCGGGAGGCAACCAGTTCATGTGTCTCTCTCATGTCGATGTTTCTCTCTCTCTCTCCCTTTCTCTCCTTCTCCCTCCCTCGTACTTTATCTAAGATAAATAGAAAAATATCCTCAAGTGAGGATTTTAAAAAATAACAATAATAAATAAATAAATACATCAATCAATAAATAAAATGTTAGCTCAAGTCATTTCACTGATAAAACAAGTCCTCACCTCGCGCAGTGCCACATGTGGCTTCCAGTGACGGCAGTTCCTCTCGCGTGTCAAATTCTGCAGTTATCCCACGAACAAAAACGACCAGTTGGGCAGTATTTGTTACGTTCGTTGTCTCGTCATGGGCCAGAGAGAAATACTGGAAATCTGCAGCATCCTTCAGTGTTTTTTCAATATCGTGTGCTAAGTCAGTAATCTGTCTGAGACGGTTCTCCGAGACAGACTACCACTCTGAAATAATTTCATTTTGTCCGGTGCTGACGACTCCACAGCAGCCGCCACACACTGTGTCACAGGCTCTCCCTCTGCACGAGGCCTCGGCTTCTTTGTGATTAGTTCGCTCACTACGGAACTTGTCTGAATAATGTTGTCTCTGTCGCAAGGAGGCCTCATGAAAGTGACTTGTTGTGATTCCAAACTCCACTGAAGGGCATTTATTTTATTCAGACGCCTCTGGCCTTCCAATTTATTGAGTTTAGCATATTTTGAGCTCTTACGATGCTCCAGATCGGCTTTTTTCATTACTGCTAACACATTGCCACAAACTAGGCACACAGGTTTGCCTTTAACTTCAACAAAAACATAATCTTGGAAAGATCAACACTCTACATTAACTTTTTTTTCTTTGCAGTTGCCATTTGTAGGATGTCACACCACTTCAGTTTTTTGTTTTTCTTCACTGATTTTAGAGAGAGAGAAAAGGAGAGAGAGATAGACGCATTGATGAGAGAGAACATCGACTGGCTGCCTCCTGCATGCCCCCCACCGGGGATTGGGCCCACAACCTGGGCATGTGCCGTGACTGGGAATCGAACCGCTGCCTGTTGGTGCATGGGTTGATGCTCAACCACTGAGCCACACCGGCCGGGCCCACTTAAGTTTTAATAACTATCCAGTGTTATTACATTATTTTAATAATTTAATGATTGCCAGTGATGCAATTATTTTGCTTTGATTGTTGTTCTAAATGTGCGTCTTGGATTTGGAACATATCCAGTGCTCGTATCATTGACTCTTAAAGTCTTTTCTGTGTATTGTAATTTTCTTAATCTTCATCTGAGATTCAGTGTTTTCAAGGATTGTTGATTGTGGACGTGTGGATAAAAAGGTTGGATTGGAGTTATCATCTGTGTCAACAAAGAAGTCAGCAACATCGATGACAGTCATCGGAGGCAAGGTCATCACGTTGCGAAGAACCATCTCATTGCATCTTGTCTCGTCATCACTGGATCGCCGTAGTTTCACCACAGTGTGTTAACATTTTGGCAACGTGTATACTCCCAGCCTGGCGCTGACTGTTCTCTGAGTCACCGCAATACAGGCAGATGGACTATGAGCAGCTGATGAGAAGCAGACGTGTCTGTCCTGTCATGTACTTGTATGTGTCCTGTCTATCCTCTAATGGACTTTCCTTGCTTGTCCCTCAACATTTGTTATTATTATGATTCACTTAATATAAATTTAGGTTGCTAAGAAAAAAGCTCCTGGATTTATTGAATTTCAAGTCCCACCTGCGGCTGTCTTGGCAGGGCCAGGCCAAATGGTTTCGAGGGCCTTACACGGCCCCGGACGTTCCCCAACCCTGCTTTAGATTATGGAAATAATCTTCTTTATCTCCATGTTTTCACTCTTTACTTTCCTACCATCTATTTTCAGCACTGCGGCCAGAGTTATCTTGTGAAAACAAATTTGACCACACTACTTTCTTCCTTAAAATACTTCAGTATTTTCTTTTTGTGCTAAAAATAAAATTTAAATTAGTTTCTGTAGCTGATAGGAGGCTATATAATTTGGCCCCTGCCTACTTCTCCAGGCACAACCCAAGGCATTCTCTATTTTACATACTCTCTTCCAGCCACATTTATTATTATTCTTATTTTTAATCCTCACCCGACGATATTTTCTATCTATTTTCAGGTAGACAGAGAGGGAGAGACACGGAGAGAGAAACATCAACTTGAGAGGGACACATAGACCGGTTGCCTCCCGCACGACCCTGACCAGGGCCAGGGATGAAACGCAACTGAGGTATATGCCCTTCACCAGAATCGAACCTGCGACTATTGGTCTGCGGGCTAATGCTCTATTGCTGAGCCAGACCGACGAGGCCTTTATTATTATTTTTAATCCCTCAAACACACCCTGCTTTTTTTTTTTAATAATCCACAGTGTTTGCTCTGGTTGTTCCTTCTACGTGGAATTATTTTAGCCCTGCCCTTTGAATGGACTGTTTCTTCTCATTTTTCAGTTTTAGTACTTTGAAATTATATTGATGTGTCTTTTAAGAAAGAAAAAAAAAACACCAAACTCTTATACCACTATATTAGTCTGTCACAATAATGTATAATAATATTAAAGTTTCTCTTTTTAAGCCTTAATGTGGCACATTTGCCAGTAAGTTTATTAAAATTGATCTTTAGCTATTCAGGTTCAATAAGCAATATAACCAGATTTGTCAACCTGTCTTTACTATAGTTAATCAAAGAATAATTTTCATCAAGTTTAATTTTGAAAAGTCTCTTTTACACAAAGCAACAGATGTAGTTCAGAAAATCTTAAACAAATAAATACATTTGGCAGAATCATAGTAATGCTATTGCACAATATTTCCAGAAACTATAAAATTGGCCACATTACTGCTTCTTTGAGGTAGATTCTAGTAGCTTTCAGATGTCTCTTCACTCAAAATGTTTCACCAAAGTATCTTCACTAAAAACATTTATCATAAATTTGTCATATATGCTAAAAAATCTCTGAAGTTCTTCTGCAAAAAAGTTAGAGAAAATAACTAAATGATAGCAAAGACTGATAATATAAAATTCATCGGTTTAGAACAAGTGCCCATTCTTAGTAAAAATGATCAATGTACTCAAACGTCCTTTTGATTTTATTGTTGCTGCTGGTTTTTTTCTTTAGAGTTTGATTTTTTTCTATGCAAATATCCATTTTCTTAACATTTGTTGTATATTTATTGGCCTCCTCTACAATTTCTGCGCACTGATCTTCAAGGAAAAATTTTAAAGTTTGGTATTTCACACATTGTCCAAAGCCGATTCTGTCTCAGCAAATGTATTTGTCTGATTTGCCTCAACTAAAACTTCATTCCAGAAAAGAGTTAACTCAGAAAAGAAAATTCGCCTCGGCAAAGGAAAAAGTCTGACTGATCTTCTTTGGTATACATTTTCTTTAGTATCTTATAGTACTTCAAAGTTGGGGTTAACTTTTTAAACTTTGTGTTTATTCTGTGTACAGCTTCAAAATGAACACTCCATTGTGTCTGAAAAAACCTTTTCACTCATACGTACAATCTTCAGCTTTTTCCATCAACAAATCTTTTCAAAATTGATGAAAAGGAGGAATATATTTTTTCAAAGTTTTTGAAAAACATCATAAGTAAAGAAAAATCCAAAATTGTGATCTCTTCAAAGATTTGGAGGATGGCAAGGCACAGATAAAATTTGGGATTAATCTCTTTGACTATTTACCCAAACCCCACAGTGAGTAATGGCTACAGTTGCAGCACTGTCGTAGATACATATATTTTTACCACACTGGAGGTTTATGTCCAGTCTTTTACTATCCAGTTGTGCTGTGACTTTTATGTGAGTTCAGCAGCAGTTATCCCAGAAATAGGAGAGAAACCCAAGAATGAGTCCTTCCTTTCGAATTTGCCATCCACGATGCAGACATAACTGAGCACTTCACATTTGCTCGGGGTGCAAAACATCTGGAGGATTAAGAGCTATGAAAAATGCCCAAAGACTTGGAGACACAAACAGAGACCAAAGCTAACTCAAATCATTCCGTACCTCCTTGGGCCTAAGGTAGAAACAAGTGGGTGTAGCTGAGTGCCTTAGTTCATGCTGCTGTACACTATAGAATATCACAGACTGGTGGCTTACAGAGCAAACATTGATTCCTCACAGTCTGCAGGCTGGGAAGTCCAAGATCAAGGTGCAACAGGTCAGGTGTCCGGTGAGGCCCACTTCATAGCTTGCAGATGGCACTATTGTTGTATCCTCACATGAAGAAGGGCAGATCATCTCTTTAATGTCTTTTCTTGTAAGGGCACTAACCCCATTATGAGGGCTCCACCCTCATGACTAAATTATCTCCCAAAGGCCCCACCTCTAAATATCACCACATCGGGGATTTAGGCATCAACAAAGGAACTTCCTGGGGAAACAAACATTCAGTTCATAGCAGTGAGTCTGTGTGTACTGGGGACTGACTGTATCACTGGGAGTTCTTCAAATTAACTTCAGTGTAGAATTCAGTGTGTCTTAAAGGATAACTAATAGAAATGTGCTACTTTATAGTTTACATTATT